TAATAATAGATTGCACACACCTCTTAGGAAAACCTCAGACATTGAGTTGAGGTTGTACAAATTAACATTACAGTCATTTAGTTCATCATTACTAGCTTTCAAAAAGGAATAAGACATGAACAAGAAAAACACACAAAAAGACAGAAATAAAACAAAGAGCATTTATGAAGGTGAGAGATAAGGGCCCTGGGTAGACTATATCATGCAAAATAAAGGGCAACTATTGCTATAATACTTTGCAGTTTCATGAGATGGCAAAGTATAGTGTACCTAGATAAAACAAGTGCCACAAAATGGGTGTTGCCAATCATTAATAGAACTTTTACTCAGTAAGCTTAAACTTTAAACGTAACAATTTTCTCAAACACACACACTCTCTTTTGCCCTGATATTATTTTGAGCTATTGGTACTAGCTGCATACACAGCTCGAGACATACACTTACTCACTGCTAGCATAAAAGAACTTACTATTACGTGTAGCTGTTTCTCTTCTTACAGCTCTAGTATCACCATCAGTTGCCTCTCCTAGTAACAATAGATACACTTACTGCTAGCATAAAGAACTTACTATTACGTGTAGCTGTTCCTCTTCTTACAGCTCTAGTATCACCATCAGTTGCTTCTCCTAGTAACAATAGATACACTTACTGCTATCATAAAAGAACTCACTATTACGTGTAGCCGTTCCTCTTCCTACAGGTCTAGTCTCACCATCAGTTGCTTCTCCTAGTAACAATAGATACACTTGTAGTGAACTCATGACATCACATCTCATGCATATTCATGATATCTCTTAATATATATTGCATGTTGTGTTTTATAATTGATCAGTGTTTGGGTGTCAAGTCAACTCAAGGTAAATGTGAGCGCTCTATGGCAAGCAGCATATCTGCTTCCCTATCACTAGCTGCAACACACATATACTCATACGCTAAATTGGTGACCCAGACGGCCCTGTCCACTCACTGCTGCTAAAAAAGTGTGCTAAAAAAGTAATTTTTGCTGCTAAAAAAGTAACAAAACGCAAACCTAAAGCAGTAAAGACAATAGCCAATTATTTATGACCATGTGGATGTTACTATTAAAATAACAAAATTTGTAGTTCGTATTGCCAGATAGTTGAGATAAATCTGTGAATTAAAAGAACAAAAATAAACCCAATTTAAGCACTATTAATATTAATTTGATCAAAGAATATGTTGTAATGTCTTACAAGAGTTACTAAATGTCATTTTTTAATTATGTAATGTAGTAAATTTACAATTAACCTAATAAACTATATACTATATCTTGGTATAGTCATTGACAAAAGGTCTCAGAAAGCTCAAGAACTAAAACTATCCAAATTATAAACTAATTTTCAAATATGAAAATTACATGAATGTATTAGAACAAAGCCACAAAATATTAAAGAGTACAAATTTTTACGTTGAGTACTCTCTAACTACAGTAGTGGCCCTACTTGTACATGTATGCCTGAACACATTAATTAACTCATGCAAAAGAAGTGGTGACTGCATAAAACGTGCATTGTTTCACAAGTATACACTTTCAGTCAGAGA